AGTTACGGAAAATCAATTAACAAACGGAGACGTAACAATAATTTCAAAATATCTGAAATCTACTACAGGTACCCGATCCCAAATCCGGAATTCTTGGGATCTGAGCCATACCTAATTTCGGAATTTTTCGGTTTTTGGATCGGTCGGTCCAGCATGTACAGATGATGTACATAAAATATGCATTTTGAACATTTTCACGATGAACAAGTTAAATCACAATGAGATGGCTGAACAGCCAAGGGGCAGGTTTGAACTGAGACCCACGTACTGTATACTGACTCGACACGCCTCCCAGACAAAGCGGCTATGGCGGTAATTAATCTACAATTAAGACTAAAATAAATCTTTACTAATTTATTTGTAGTTACCTATTTGTACAGTAATTTTAAGTCAGTTTCAAGTTGGAAGTGTGAATCAGTAACCAGAAAAAGTCCGGATATAAGGAATTTCTACAAGCTAATGGAGTGTTCACTAGAATAGCCGATTTCTGGAACATTACGGTTTTCGTAACGCCGGATTTGAAATCGTCTACCCGTATTTCGTTAAGATGACCTCAGAGGATGTTATCCGATAGTAGAAGTGAATTTAAAAGTAAGATTTAACTTTCTCACCCTTTCATTCATCTCCTCTTAACGTACACGTGAAATAATCCTTGTGAAAATTCGCTCTCAGAAACGTTTTAAGTTTCCGCTTTATCAAGAAACGATATTACGTTTCTTTTAAATATGTGCTGAAATGTAAATATATTTCACTGTGTTAAGATTTCAGGATTTCTTTTGAAAATTGTTATATCTAAATATGGCAGTATACGATGATTTTCTGACTACAGAATTTTTTAATTAAGTTTGTCGAATTTCGCGCAAGATGGCTCTGCTCTCTGCGTTAGCAGTCCCTAATTTAGCAATGAAAGACTACAAGGAAAGCAGCTAGTCAATACCATCCACCGCCAACTGTTGGGCTACTCTTTTTATCAATACAATGTGATATTTAACGCTACATTATAACGCCCTCTTAGCTGAAAGGGCGAGCATGTGCAGTAAGGGGATTCAAACTTGTGACCCGCAGATTGCGAGTGGAGCTCCATAACCACTAGGCCTTGCTGGGCCTTCAGCAGAGTCTGAGGCCTTATAACGCTAAAAAATCGGGTTTCGATATTCGCGGTGAACACAGTATGAATAGCCCATTGTGTAGCTTTGTGTTTACTAATAGTAAAACATACATCATTACTAAGTACTGTTGTAATAAAGAACCCAATTAAGGAGGGCCGGGTATGGCCCAGAAGTTAGCATATTGATGGATCCAGGGTTCGTGTAGCTTTGTGCTTAATAATAGTAAAACATACATCATTACTAAGCACTGTTGTAATAAAGAACCCAATTAAGTAGGGCCGGGTATGCCCAGATTTTAGCGTATTGATGGATCCAGGGTTCGTGATGCGCTACCCACTTTGAGCTGTGGGCTAACAGTTGATACATTTAATTATTCGGTCCAGATGAGATAATATTTGTGGCAGAAATCACTGATGTTTGTCTTCCATCTACGCGCTAGTTCTAAATTAGGGACGGCTATACTTGAACCCTAGGAATCTCTGTTAGTAGTTGAATTTTGCGCAAAGCTATACGAGGACCATCTGTGTTAGCCCGTTCCTAATTATGAAGTGGGAAAATAGAATGAAGGCATCTAGTGAACACCGCCAACTCGTTGATTACTTTAATCGAACAGAGGGAATTGTTTGTCACTCTTAAAACGCACCAACGGCCCCAAAGTGCATTTTTTTGTTTCCTTTTCTGTGATAACAAGCCGCTGACTATGGAACCTCTAATCCATAGTCCGGCATGATAATCACTTGACCAAGAAGTCTCTAACCTTGTCATTAAGCCCACGAACCTATAATGTACTGTTCAGCTTGAAAACTCAAATTTCAAAGAAAAACAACAACAACTAATGGTTCAATAGATTTAGCATAATAAAGAAGTTGTATTTAAATGTTTCACAGACCAGGCGTGGCCCATTGGTTAGCGTGCCTAACGTTGAAATCCGGCGGTTAATGGTTTGCATCCCGCTACTGCTAAAATGCGCTCCGAATTTTGGGACCATGAGTGCATTTTGAGTGACGATTAAGTCCCACTATTGAATTCTATAGTTCTTGACTAGTTGCTTCCCATCTAGTCCCCCAATTATAACACCGTTCTTTTGTTGGGGGTATTTCAAATGGGTGGTAAAAATCCGTCGTGAAAATTTGCAAATCTTTTAGAAGGGACTTGCATATTACTTCAAATAACTGTCTTCCTACTATTAGGTAGTTTGTAGCACATTTAGGAAGAAAGCTTTTGAACAGTTTAATGGTTGAAATAAATTACCTTTTTCGTGAGAAAATGAATGTATACATTGTAAGGAAACTCACCTCACTAGACTAGACTTTTTGAACAAGAAAAAAAAAGAAGAGGATTTATAGAACAAAGTTAGATATAAGACGACGATAGTGTTTATACCGATATCAATGTCAACTAAATTAAATGAGAATGTACGAATATTCACTTAGGAAATCCGGAGTAGCTTCATTTAATAAATCACGTATTTTAGTAATAATAATATCAAGTGTATTTCATCACGGTGATTCCTTTATAAATGAATTTCTTTTTCTTGAGACGGCTGTTTCCAAGACAAAAGTAGTACAATATCAGTCCTAACCTTATGGATTATTACATAGGAGAGTTGTATTGTACATGGTGTTCGTGAAGTCTGGAACCACAAGCACTTCAATGAATTTTATAGAATGTGTTTCACACGCTGTTCTTGTAATTCGAAACAAGTTTGGATTAACTCGACCTTCTCATGTTTTAACAGCGCCATAATCAGTCATCTATCTGAAATTAAGAAAAGCTGCAAATCACCTATGCTTCCAGACTTTTCGGACACCATGTATTGTGTTTGGAATTTCCTTGCAAAGTTTTACGAGGGCGAAATGTGCATGATCATTCCTAATTTTGGACTGAAAGGCTAGAGGGAAAGGTAGCTATTAAACAACTCTCACCGCCAGCTATTTTGCTGATCCAATAGTGGAAGTTGACTGCCATTCTTATAACGGCCCCAACTCGAAGTACAGTGCACTTTTTTGTGTGCCAGTGGCATGCGAACCAAGAACCCTCGCCTTTATAGTTCGAGCACGTTAACCACCACTAAGAAAGATGTAGCTTATGCGGTGAAAAGCAAATTTCTTAACTTTCCTCACCCACAGGATTAATCCTTCATTAGTGCGAGTGCAAGACATTTGATATATATGTATATATAAACCACTTATTAGGGGGGGGGGGCTTGTCCCCCTTCACACACCCCTGTTGTAAAGGTTTTAATCTGGACAACGTTTTGCTTTGGCCCGGTGAGAGTAAACTCAAAAGTGCCGAAACTTTAACTTCAATACTTTTTCAGGCAAACTATTCATTCGGAGGTTCACACCAAAGAAAGTTATTTAACCAAAAGAAACAAAACACACGACGATTAACCTTTTTTAAAATCTTAATTAGACTAATTCCCATTTTGGGCTTTATTAGAATATACACAGTTAGCTGCTGGAGTAAAATCATTAATTTGATATGTTTGACTTTTAAGTCATCAGTATCTACAATATTTCTTACAAATTATTATACATCAAAAACGGAAAAAACACACACACACACTAATGGGATCAGTTAACACCAACTTTTTCTTAAAAGTTACAATAAAATAGTCTTAAAGAACAATGCAATTATTTTACAAAATAAATAATATTTATCATCCCAGCTGACAAGCAAAACTGTACCAACGTCAGCTACATTAATAGCGTTGACCGCGCATTTGTTTCTTTTTTCACTCGTTTTTAATATAACTCTTACAGCTTTTGCATTACCTGGCCAAATCATTGTGTTCATTTACATATTATTCATTATACTGTTGTCATTCATTCATACAAATAGATATTTTAATCACTCACTCATGCCTACACCGATTTAGTCCGTTAAAATTTCCCGCCACGAGCTTATACAGTTGTTAAAAAATAAAGAACGGAGATCCTAAAAAATATATACTTCTTGAAAACTCCGTTGGAGGTCACCATGTGTTCTCAGCTCTTTTTTTTTTTGTCGAACGGTGTGACAATGAAACGCAAACACGTTCATTCATAGAGCAACATTCCTAACGTTACACTGATTATTATGACAAAGTCTGCGTACCTGTGATACATTATTCATATTCTCCTCACATAAATATAAATTAGGCTCTTATAAAAACAATCGCATGTAAAACACCTTTTTTTTTGAGCAAAAGACATTTTCAAAACAAATGGTTACTCGACGACGGTAAGTTTTCTACGCTTTTTCACAACTATGAGAATACTATTGTCATGTTTAGTTACCTATTTGTATTTAGTAAGTTATGTTACGAGCAGAGATATTTGTTAAACTATTATACATATGATTAATACTGCTCAAAATCCACTTACGTTATATGTGACCTCAGATGACAATTATATATATAAAAGAAAATTACAAAAATGCCTGAGTTTTGCTCTAAGATTCAGCTTACATCACAACTAGACTAACCATAGTTTCCAAACTTTACAATCTTTTTTCACCCACAAGTCAACAAACAATACGTGACTCTAGTACAGCAACAAGCTGTGATATGGATTGCTTTTCCATTTCTGTATTGTTATGCCAGACTAATAAAGTGAAGACGGTTATTCGACGTATAAAACCATGAATACACAACAACAGTGTGGCACTTCTGTATGACAGACTGGATGATGGCGAAGCACTTTCTGGTATGACAGACTGGAAGATGGTGGAGCACTTTCTGGTATGACAGACTGGACAATGGCGGAGCACCTTATGGTATGACAGACTGGAAAATGGTGTAGCACCTTCTGGTATGACAGACTGGACGATGGCGAAGCACTTTCTGGTATGACAGACTGGAAGATGGTGGAGCACTTTCTGGTATGACAGACTGGACAATGGTGGAGCACCTTCTGGTATGACAGACTGGACGATGGCGAAGCACTTTCTGGTATGACAGACTGGACGATGGCGGAGCACTTTCTGGTATGACAGACTGGATGAAAGTTCTCTCGTGAAGTACCAAGCATGTTAGCTTTCCTCTGTAATACACTCAGTCACAGAGCAGTGCCAAATAGCTGAACACAACTGTCTTCCATGGAATCACGCCCACCTTTGTTTTACACAGCAGGACTGTATTTTACAGTTTGTGGAGATAAAACTGTACAGTACCTATGTTGCTTTTTTTCTTATACAGTCACTTAAGTTAATTCTAGATTATTCAGCTATAAATATGCATACGTCAGAGCATGGAGTTAGTAATGTCCCTGTTCTCACAGCAATATCATGCTGTTGTTGAGCACACCGTCTTTCTGGAGATAAGAAAAGCATAAAAAAATTAAAGTATTCTAAACCACGTTCAGTTTATGCTGAACTCAAACTTACTTTCATCATACAGCAACGTAAAGATTAACTTGATGGTATAAGTTTTCTACAACTCATTATTGTAGTGCAACTATCACTATTTGTCATGTCCATTATATATTCTGGAAACTTCAGTCATATTATTAAATGTACAAATCTCAATATTTTTAACTCATGTTTTAATTTACTTTGTTTGAGACAATGTTTATAAACAATAAATAGTGTTCCATTTTCACCAAGAAATTGTCAATTTTCTAAAAAACCTATACAGGCCTATTACATTTGATACAATCTTCTGATAACTGATGTACACAGTTCTATGTAATTTATATATATATATAAATGTGTGTGTGTGTGTGTGTGTGTGTGTACACACTCCATTTTTAACTACATTTTAACCAAATGAATAAAATTAATTAGTATACAGTGCATGGTATTTTTTGCTATTCAATTATTATAAAAAATTGTTCTCTTCTACAGCACGATTATTTTTACAACTAGCATCTAACTTAAAAATAACTAAATGTACCTAGGACTTTGAATTACTACTCAAGTCAGTGTCTCCATCACTTTGTCTTGAAGAAATTCCTTCTCTCCGCCTCCGATGTTTATAGCTATACTCCCTCTCTACCGTCCCTGTTAGAATAAGTCATTGTTCTAATTATCTCTCGTGCACTTGATAATTTGTGTAAAAAAAAAGACTACATAAATATTCATGTTTTATAATATTTTTATAAATTTAAAACTAGAAAAAATTAAAATAATGTAATTTTTAAAATAAAGAACGATTTTTAATGACAAATTCAATTCAAATCCGTAAAGTCCTAAAATTAAAACTTTTAATTCTGTTTCATAACTTCTTTGGTTGTCATAAGGTAGCGCTGTAAACCTTAGTTATCCTACTTGATTTTAACAATATATATTTTACATCATTGTGAGTTATACAGAATAAAAATATAAATACTATTCACTGTAAGTAAAAATCTGATGAAAGTAGTATTTTAGAATGATCTTATAACAAATTCCCACCTGGAAGAGGGGTGTGTACCTCCACTTTCACCTTGGCGGTAGTGGTGACTTTTGTTGTAACAGCCGTCTGCGTTGTGTTTGTATGAAGAACTTGGGAGCAAGAATCTGTAGGGCTCGCAGAGCAGCTGCTGGTGTGTGTGTTATCTGATGATGTAGATGTGCTGGTGACGTGTACGCCCTAAAAACAAGGAATAAGCAGTTTTTATTTTTAGCATTAAAAACCAATATCGTGAACAAACAACACATATCAAACAGGGCCTCTTTCTGGCTAACTCTTGTAGACGGAGCTTAAATAGCATTATTTAAATAAATTTTAGTTTGTTGAAAAAAAAAAGTTGTTTCAATACACTTAAATGATGTGACAAGAATAGTACGTTTCTTTTCTTTTCTCTCAACAAAATAAGACACTCCGGTGCCAAAACTTTAGTGTATCCACCAGTTTTATTGTTTCACTTCTTACATTTCCGCCAGTCGTCGCTGTTGTATTGGTTATAGTTGTCGTTTCTACTACTACTTCTGGCTGCACAACGATTTCGTGCGATGAGTGGTAAGACTGAGGCTCCTCCGTGATGGTACTGAGAGAGATCTCCGAGTTGACTCGTGGATACACTCGCCGACCACTAAAATGTTGAGACGTCCGTGCCCTAGGTCTTGGTGGAGAAGGTTCTGGAGATGGAGTAGCTAATCTATCTGGATCATCGTTAGGAACCACCTACGTTTTAAAAAAAAAAGGTTAATAAACAACAGAAATCGTTCATCAAATATTTAGATTTTAGAGATTTTTACGGAAAATGTTACACGCTACTCAAATGAAAATGTTAAACGTTTACAGTGACAAGTTACAAGTATAACTTTACGAATAAATTCACTTTCTGCTTATAAAAAAAATCCAAGCAATCACATTTTCCCACTTATTTAACTCAACGCTTTTATAAAATATATTAATTAATTAATTAACTATTATGGAAACTCAAACAAGACTTGTATAATGTAATTTTAGTGCTTATTTTCCTTTTCTTAGGAGGTTACAGTTCACAATTTTCACTTTTAGGTTTCTTAAAATTCACTTTTTTATATAAATGACACAGAAATTTTTTTACCAAAATACAAAGTTCAGAAACATACTAATATCCACCACATCTATTATCTTTTACTGTTGGCACCATCGTATTATTTGAACGACATATTTTTTATTGAAGGAATAAACAAACAAAAATTAGATACCTCTCCAGGCGGTCCAATCAAGGAAAGCAACACAGGCAAAAGCAGTAATCCGTTTATTAAACCAATAAACACAAGGGCAACTAGGACATAGAAGAAATATCTGAAATATATAAAAAAATTCAAACTGTGTATCCAGTGTTTCTAAATAAAAGATTCATTATGACTTAACATCAGCCATCTGTCGGAAAACAACTAAAGTTTAGTACTCAAATCGTGTCAGTTTGTTTTCTGTTAACTACACATAATTATTATTGTTTTAAATAAAATTATACGCATAACCTATTGTAGTGTATATTTTACTGATGTTCTAGAGCAGTTGTGGGCAACTTGCTGCCCCCTAGAGATCAACCTGAGCATTCTCTTCATCCTAAAGAACAATACAACATCAAACAAACACGAGGGGTTTTTGCAAGAGTTGATATTATCTGTGAATAATGACAACGGGCAAATGTCCACGTGCATCGGTGCTAATTTAAAGTATTAAAATGTAAACTTTCATCATCTAGTTTTTTGTTTGTTTGTTGTTAACTACACAATGAACGAACCGCGATCTGCTCATCACAGGTATCGAAATCCGAATTTTTGCGTTATAAGCCGTCAGACTTACCGCAGAGCCATCGAGGTTTTTTTTTTTATGTTTATATACTGTAATATTTCAATCATCAGTAGCGAGAGTTATTTTACAACTTTAATATGTTTCATATGTAGCTCATTTTTATTCAAGCATACAATTTTTGGTTTATGACCGGTAAAGGAGACTTTGCGGCCCTTAGGGTGTTTGAGCGCTTCACGTGTGGCTCACGGATAGATTAGATTGCCCATCAGTGCTATAGACTATTGCAATATTTTAATTCAGAGCAAGGAAACCAATACCACAGGTAGGGCAGATAATTTAATAGATTATGCAGCAATATAGTGCACGTAGGTAGCCTAGGGCGGTGACACAAAATTGTAGCTTAAGTCTTACCACACAATGAAACCGAATTATCAACTGCACCAGAAACACAGAGTTTTTCTTTTTATGTTTAATGAATTACTGACATTTTACAAACGCGTTTTTTGAATATACAAAGAAAATTAACACATCATTAAAGAGTTCAGTTCGTTAAAAAGTGCTTATAAAGTGGCAATACTGATAAAATAAATTTTAAAAAATGGTCACATTTAGCTTGGTTCAGTGGAATGAATATACAAAATTCTTAATTTTGACCTTTTTTTTCTGTATATTTCGTGAACACTCATTTCCTCTACCACAGTCACGAATGAAGCCCTAGATTCGAGAACCCCTTGGTGTGAGTATGTCTGTGTGTGTCTTTCCCTAAGCACCTGCACTCTATTCCTCACGTTTTTGCCCACCCCCTTCCCTTTCGCCCTGGAGCCTCTGCGTGATGGTGGCCCCAAGTCGGCCTTCCTAGGCGAGCAAACAGCGCAGTTCCAGATTCTCATTATACAGATTTGAAATGGCTATCGCTTCGGGTCAAACTTCACTAATGAAATCAGCAGCGCCTGGACAACATTATAACTGTTTACATACTATGGTGTTGGGTGTGTGTGTGTGTGTGTGTGTATATAGAGAAAACTGTTGAATAAAACTGTATTTATGTCACTTTTCGCACGTTCAAGAACAAAAACCGCAGCGACAGTTCAAAAAAAACTAAAGCACGCATCTAAATCCACCGAACAAAAGACAGTTGAGACTTCTTGTTCCACCCACTAACAATAATAGTCCCCTTCCACCACATAGAAACAAGGTGGGGGGGGGGGAGTTGCAAGGGCAGGATAGGCTGTGCTCCTGTGGTTTTAACAGTTGATTAGAAACGACCGTCTCGGTATTATAGCCCACCCTGTTCGGACGATAACACTTGGGTCCATGTTAGTCTTAAGTCTGGATATTGAAAGGTTTGTGTTTGCGTGGTCAAGGATAACAGAAGGCTATGGTATCGTGCTGGGTGATCATGTGTAAGGACTTCCATACTTAAACAACAAAATATACATTACATTCCTAATTCTACATTTAAATGCGTTCGATGGGATATTTTTCTTTAGTAACAAACACTGGTATCATAAAATGTCCACTAAATTTTTGTATTTTCACATAAGTAAATTAGAAGGTACGAGTGACTAGAAGTTGTTACAATTTAAAATTCTGTTTATATATATGAAACATTGTGACAATTGTCAAGCGCTTGCGTTCCTTAATAGCGCCCCAAGGTGGCTCCGCGGGAAGTCTCAATACTTTTTTTTTTGTTTGCTCGTTTATTACTAAGCGCAAAGCTACACAATGGACTATCTGTGCTGTGCCCACCATGAGTATCGAAACACGACATTTAGCGTTATAAGCCCTCAGACATACCTCAAGACTCGTGTTACTAAGAATCGGGTTTCGATACCCTCGGTAGGCAGAACACAGGTAGTCCATTGTGTAGCTATGCGCTTAACAACAAAACAAACAAATCCTTGAATCAAACATACATGGTGTGAACGTGCTGTGTAGTCAGTATGAGAAAAACCTATACACTCGATGGGTGGAGTGAAGAAAAAGTGTCATTGGCCACTGTTCAGTTTTCAACATTATATAGCCGCATAATACCAGATATAATAAAATTTTCGGAATACTAAATTTATTTGTTAAATCCTTGAATAGCGTCACGTAAGCTATCATTTTGACCCCCCCCCCCGTCTCAGTAATACAACTTTTTAACATTTCCAGTTCTATCTATAACTTAATGGCTGAAGCTGTGACTGAGAAACAAACGGTGGTATTTAGTAACAAATGGAAATTAGGAGAAGAAAAAAAAGACTAGTTTAATAATATTTTTCATACTCAAATTTATATAGTTTCTGACCAAAGACTTCGAAAATATTTCCTTCATTCTCTTGAGACATTTATTTCCACAATTGCACAAGATTTACTTCAGCTATTTCCTCTCCCCAGAAAACTGGTTTCAACCAAATTTCTCAACAGAAGATTTATATGAACCATTTCCAATTTAACAAGTTTCTTTTTTCCATCACTTTAAACTTTACATCAGACACCTCTGTTAGGTCTCTACAGAAAAAGAAGAGATTTATGATGCCAACACATTCTCTCCTCATACCATCTTCTATTGCCTCCTCATACCATCTTCTATTGCCAACACATCCTTTCCTCATACCCTCTTCTATTGCCAATACATCCTCTCCTCATACCCTCTTCTATTGCCAACACATCCTCTCCTCATACCATCTTCTATTGCCAACACATCCTCTCCTCATACCATCTTCTATTGCCAACACATTCTCTCCT